AGAAGAGCTGCAGAAAAGAGGGGAAGAAAGAAGGGCTTGGGGGAAACAGGTTAGCAAGGAAAGGGCTGAGGGGAGACTGAGACAGAGCTGCTCTGTGGGAAAGCGGTGAGAGTGTTTGGGGAAAACGCCAGCGAGCGCCCCCAATCCACCCCCAGTTTACGACAGGCCAGCTGCAGCAGGGGGCGATGTCCCCTCCCCAGGGGCTGCTCCGACCGCCCAGCTGGAGTCGCCCCAGCCGCTCTCCTCCATCCCTTTTGTTTTCATCATCTCTACCTGGCCTTTTGTGTTTGCCTTTTGAGAGTGTCTCACCATAGAGTCCAGCCTGGCCTCAAGCACACTATGTAGCCCAAGCTGGCCTGGAATTTATGGCGATCCTCCTGCCTCAGCCTCCCAAGTGCTGGGATTACAGGTGTGCGCCACCACCCTCAGCCTTTCCTGCTGTCTTTGTGATGCGGCCACCCCCTGTAAGACTGAAAGTGGGAGACAACAGCATCTTCTTGTCTTGGTCATTGCTGTGTCCCCAGCTCAGAACGTGTGTTGAGTAAATGTTCCCTCACTTTAGAAGTAGCAGAGCCGGGGCCAGATGTGTGTCTCTGGCCGGTGTTGCTCCCTGGATCCCCTCTGGCTCAGGGGTTGCTTCCCATGGGGGACACCTGTCCCTCACAGTTCTGCGGCACACAGCAGGTCCTCAGGAAAGTATGTGAGCCAGGGAGAGCAGTCAGACCCCGACAGCCTGGCTCTGGAGATTTGTGGGGGACTCTGAGGCGTGAAAGCAGCTTAGATTATTTGTGAAGCTGTTGTGTCTGGTCATTCCTTCCCCTTACCCCAATAAAATGCTTAGCCTTGAGACAGTTCCTTGCCCAAAATGCTTTTCTCCTGTTTTTTTCCCCCCTCTTACACTGATATTCTAAATAAAAGCCAGTAGCTGGGTGTGGTGGTGAATGCCTGTAATCCCAGAACTTGGGGAGGCTGAGGCAGAAGGATCAGTCTGGGCTACATAGTGAGTTCCAGGTCAGTCTCAACTACATAGTGAGACCCTGTCTCAAAAAACAAAACAAAACAAAAAAACCAACTAAATAAAAGCCAGAGAGAGAGTTCTTGGCTTTGGGGCTACTTCTGGGAGCCTCTCTCATGCTGGGCTCAGTTGAGGTGGCCCCTTCTGGGCCTCTTGGTATTTACACTAAGTCTCGTCCCCAAGTAATCTTTTCATCTCCTGTGCCACCACAGTCACACCATGTAACAGAGGTGCCCTAAACGCATGCTGCGTGCACACACACACGCACACACGCACACGCACTGAGGAGTCCTGACGATGGTGCAGAACATACCAGAGCCCCTCCTGAAACAGCACCCGTGTCCCTGGCACGCCCTGGTGCCCCTGGCCCTCTGGACCTGGCCGATCCAGTGACTTGGATCTCCCTGAGAAGGTAGCTCCCGGACCAGGGCCCCATCCACACAGGTGTGTGGTGTGGGCCACGCAGTGCAGAGCCAGCCTCCTGGAGCAGTCGCTGAGGAGGGAGAGGAAGGGGGGACAGCGTCCCCCTGGGGTCTCCCACTGCCCGCGGCGGTCACTGCTCACCGAGCGCCCTGACCGCTGCCTTCCCTCCTGTCCCTCTTCCTCCACCCCTGCCCGGCATCCTGGGGCCTCTTCCCAGCTAAATGCACCTGCTGTGTCCAGATCTGCTCTGAGGATCCCGGACGCAGGCCAAGGTGAGCGTCTCGCAAGCGGTGTGCAGCTCTCCAAATCGAGCTCCAAGGCTGGGGAGAACAGGAACCCCCCCGCCCAACTGTGCTGCAGATGGGGCTCAGGGAAAGGGCTCACGTGAGGGAGGAATCCTGCTCCTTCCCTGCACGAGCACACACACCCCCACCTACCCACCCACCCCTGGGGCCTGGTCTCCCAGCCAACCGGCA